AGAACCCCAAATGCAAAGAATATTTTGTGCTCCCTAAAAATGTCTTACAAAGAAAAACAATATTACAGAATTTATGCTAGCTTTCAGATACTAAAATGCTATGAATTCTCTATTTTTTGTTCACTTGTGATCTTAAATACCATATTATTACTAATAATATGTGTAAAATTAGTACAATTTTTAAAGATTATGGGATATTAATATCACTTTTAACACCTAGTATTATAAACATGTATATAATTACTACAATTTTTTTAAAAAAATTATACTACATTAATACCACTTTTAACTTTTACTCTTGTGTATTAGGCATTACATTTATTAAAACTTTGTCATCTGAATTTTAGTGCTATTTTGTGTATAACTAGAAAGATATATCATTATTATTATGTAATATTTTAAATTTTTTGAAAAGTTGAAGTACAATTCAAGAAGTATAATGCGCTAAAAGGTCATTGCATGTTTTATAAGGTTATGTGAAAAGTACAAGTATTTTTTGTACGTACCAAATATGGAAGTTTTTTCTTAGTTGTACTTTACAAACGTGTAGTAAATGCATATAGTACAATTACTTCCCGACTAAGAGAAACAATATATTCATATAATATTTCTGTTGGTTTTTTACTAGCAATTTTGAGTGCTACTTCTTAGTGAAAAACCTTGATATTTACATGTAATTAATTACTTTCCAAAGGATTTACATGTAGTAATTGTGCTGCACAGCAATAATTGAAGCATCCAGCAGGTTTAGTAGTAGTAACAGAAATTGACAATCAGTAACATGTAGTAATTCTTCAGACACTAGTACTTTTCTTTGTTATAGGCATGTATTAATTTGAAAGCTGATAAAGATTCTGGGCTGAATTTGTAATGTTTTTACATGTATATTATGCAGAATAAATGCTACCCTAATTCTCTTATCCCGGGACAGAATTTAATTTGCTTAATTTGTATAGAATTTAATTTGCTTCACTTGCAAATTTTTACTGTAATTGAAGGATAATGTAGAGTATATAAAAGTAAACATTGCGCTAGTATGTGGTGACTGGTGATGTTGTTCTCGACTTAATTTATCCCGACAAGTTTCTTTGGCTTCCTTGGCACTAAAACATAAAGCAGTGAATTCATATCAGATTATCTGTTTAGTAATCCTGAATATACGAGGTTTGAGGGAGACAAAAATTAACGTTATTTATTAACCTGTTTAATAATTCTTCTCTAGTAAAAGCTTTTGCAAATTTTTCTTGCATAATGTTTTAGCGACAAGTCTACCAGTACTGCTGGAAAACTATACAGGAAATACAGAGAATGGAAAGGCAAGGCACCCTTCAGTTACTTCTCATAAGTCGTAAACAAACCAGGTATGCGATTGTATGTGTTGGCTTGAGAAAGCTTAGAATGCAGCAGCATCTAAAGGTGAAGAGTTTAGTGAAATCAATAAAGAAAATAATCTGTTGAAAGATGAAATTAAGGTTTTAAGGTACCAACTTAATTGGTTTTCTGGTGGGATTTACATGTAGTGGTGCTATATGGCAGTACTGCTTCACGCAGCCAGGTGGTTTCCATTAGTAATCTCAAAATTAGGCAGATAGAAGAGTCGTCAAAGGATATAGACAATACTACTGTTTTTTTGTTATATACATCTGTCAGAACTTTTGCAAGCTCAGTTCGATTAATAAAAGCATCTGGACTCGTTAAGGGCTTTCACATTTATTTGGTATGCAATAATGCTCTGTTTTCCTTCCCCCATACACTAGTAAACTTGGACAGGTCTTCTCCCGTCCTACTATGGCAACCTAGAAGCGTCGCATCCAATTTTTAGGTCTTATTACTGTCCATCAATGTAGGGACTCCGACTGAAGGCTATAGTCAAGTCTGTCCACAAACTCAAGTAAAAGGGGAAATATTTAGGAGTTAGTTAAAACTCAGTTTAAAGTCAAGTTTGGCTTTTCATATTGATGGAGCAAAAGCTTTCTTTGATTTCAACTTTTGGGCATGTTCTAAATTTTTTATGTTTATCTTAAGTGAATTGTTATAGGCCAAAAAAGAAATTGTTTTACCCTGCAGATTTCTGTTGTTATTGAAGAATGATATGATATAGAACAAACTAAATCAAAAAAGGCTATTCGGAACTTTAGCCCTAAAAATCAATACATTAGGCTCTGTTTGTTGGGTATTCTAATAATAAAAAATGTCACATGTTTATTTTGAATTCAAACACAATAAATTACAAATTCTTTAATAAATTTTCAGCTATAAATTCAACCATTTAAAAGTATAATTTATGTTTTTAAAATAAGATTTATATCTTGAATTGTGTAACCTATGTAATGATTAGGTTTATGAATTCATTTAGTGAATTTTTACTGGTATACAATGCATATAGACCTTTTCAATTTGTAGATGAAAATATGAGTTATTTATTTCACTTAATATTGGTATTTTGATACTCCTAATTTCTCAGTCTGTAATAGAGGCTTCTATCAATCAAGTCTTACGCATGTTTTGCTATTTCTAAACAATCTTCTATTTTTCTTCCTCTCACTACTATTAGAGTTTATAAGGTAAAGAACGGTATTATATGAAATTTCTATCTTACTCAAATAGTGTAGATTGGAGTAGATTAGAGTGAGGAAAAGGCTGGGCTATTGTATCTTGGAGGCAACGTATTGAGACCTATTACACCAGAAAATACTTCGTAAGGCGCGAATCATATTAAAGAGAGCAACCTAATCTGCACCTCAACCCATGCCAATCGTATTTAATGGCATAAATTATTTGTATTTTTATATAATATTGAGATGAGGTGAATATTGTTAATTTCCTTGTTAAATTTAATTTGCCAAATATTTCTAACTAGTGTGATTATTTTAGCCCAGAACCAACACTGTTAATTAGTTTAATTTTGCTTAGCATATTTGTGATGTGGAACGCATTTTAGATGACTTTTGGGCCAAGATGAATCCTGAAAAGCATTCAGCCAAGGTTTTAGCTGATAGATTATCAGGCAGATACAAATTTCTCCTTTTGTTTGTCCAAACCCGTCTTTAGAGGCTTGGTTTGATGTCAACATGTTTCAACTGGTTAATAAACCGACGAGGTCTGTTGTTTATGCATAACAACTTGTGTGGGATTGGGCAGCGTTGGGAAAAGCGGATTGAGGAACTTGCTTGGACTTTGAAGGCTAGCCATTATTTTTTCTTATGGCTGGAAAAGGTATTTGAGAACCATTGGGCACTAGGTCGGGTTTAAACCCCGACCAGTGCCTCACAAGAAAGTATATTGCTTCCTTATTTTTTTTAAAAATTAGAGAATATAATAGCATACTTGTCTAATTTATTGATTTATCTTTCAACTCTCATATAAGTCTCTTTAGACTTCTCCTCCCCGATAATGTAGGAGTAGAATAAAATGTTATCGTAACAGAAAAAAAAAATGTAGGAGTAGAATAAAATGTTATCGTAACAGAAAAAAAAAGGTATTTGAGGCAGAAAAATTGCTAGAAGTTATAAAAAACATTTAGTGGTTCACCTCTCAACCATATAAATCTTTTCAGATTCCCCCTCCCCCATAGAGTAGAAATAGAATAAATGTTGTCATAGCAGAGAAAAAAGAAAAGGATATTTGAGCCAGAAAATTTGCTAGAAGTCGTAAGAAACATTTGCTCAAGGCTTCGATTGCCGTAACGAGTCCACTGTTGGTATTACTATCCGCAAGACTTTAATATGCATTGGTCCACGGAGTCGTTAAATATCAACAATCAACAATTGAAGCATCGCGCTCAAATGCCAACTTTGTCAAGGACGTTTGGAGGGTTGACAGGAATAGTTAACGGAAATTCAGCACTGTACTCAGGAAGCATAGGAAGGAGAAAATGACATAAGCATGGATAAATTGACAGCAAAGGTGGAAGAGTCGGATAGAATTCTGAACAATGTTTTATAGATGGACTTGCATTCCCTCTAGCCCTTTATACAGCCCAATAGGATTTACTCGTTGTTGACAAATGATATTAAAAAAATGGACAAATTATACTTTATCCCCATGTGATTTAGTATTTTTCTACATAACTTTCATATAGTTTCAAAAGTTATACATAACTCCCTCATAGTTTGGATTAAAGTATTAAAATGACAGAAATAGTCATTCGTAACAGAACTTTTAAAAATATCGAAATTACCTTTATAAATACATGACACACTAATCTCATATGGATTTTTTTTTTTGGTTAGATAGGAGGGCTTTAGACCCATTACAAGGTAACTAAAGTAGGCGTATGGTTTTAATCTCATATGGATTTTATGTTTTACTGTATAACTCCCTTATGATTTAATGTTTTACCATTTAATCTCTTTATGATTTTTAAAATATACACATAACCCCCCTTGGTTAATAAATAATTTTTAACTTTACATAAGTGTATTTTTGATATTTTAGGTGACTCCGTTGCGAATGATCATTTTTGTTACTTTGACATTTTATTCTAAATTATGAGAGGGTTATCTATAATTTTTAAAATCATAAGGGAATTATATAAAAAAATACTAAATCATAGGAGGATAGAGTGTAATTTACCCTAAAAAAATACTCCACGGATCTTCCAACCCAATAGAGTAGGATAACATAGATAGTGATGATTGACCGAAAACAGCAAATCTCGTGTTACTACTATAATAGTAATAATAACACTCCTCAGGTGTCTGCACTTCCTTGACATAAGCCCGAAAAGTAGGTTCATTCAATCAAGAAAAGCTTGCCCACAAAACTTTCTTGTTTGCTTCTCCACGAGTCTTGAATCCTTCACGGCATGCCTTGCCCAACGAATAAATTCCTAGAGAATGTGAGTTTGTAATAAAGTAGGTAGTTTCTAAACCTTTTTCCAAAAGGTGAATAACGTATTCATCGAGTGTAATATTTCGTCAAAAGTTGCATTCAAAATGTGTTTTTTTGTTATTGTTTTAGGCATTTATTTCTCATAAATTACATTCACAGAACATGTTTTTTAAAGATTGCATTCACTAAATACGTTCTTTCAAAAGGCTCACTATTTGGGAACTTTTTTCCAAAAACCACCAACCCTTGGAAATGCTCCTTTTCCTGATGGTTGCTTACGTTTTCCAACTGAGTTCAATTTGATGGCTAGATAAATTCAGTAGTTAAACTACTCTTTTAGTGGTCTACGTTTCTGATGGTGTTTCTGGCATTGCAGTCAAATCGTTGTTAGTTAAATTTTCACTTTTTTCGAGTCCTTTGGCGATGATTTTCAGTCCGTGCATTATTTACCAAGAACTTGTGTTCTTGTTTAGTTCAGCTGGCAATTAGCTGAAGTTGGGTTTTTGGGCTGCCTGGATCTTGATTCTTCCCAAAACTGCCATCTTTGCTTTTTTGACTTGTAATTCAGTTCACATTTTACTTGTCTCTTCTAGCAGCTTTCTGCTTTAGGATTTTGAACTTTTCTGGCCAACCAAATTCCTGAATGTATTATTAATCCTTCCTTTTCATTTTTCCCTTGGCCTTTGGAAAAAATCGAAATTTCGTTCTTCATATATTTGCTTTCGATTCATATTCCTGAATTTCAATAGAGTTTCAAGTACTTGTTGATGAAGACGTAGTCATGGGAAAGTGGGAATTTCTGTCTATCAAAGTGGCTTTTTCCTTTTCTAGTCTGTTGTTGCTGCTTGAAACATGTATGGCCCGTATTCCGAATGTAGGCAGGCTGAATCTGGGATTTCAGGGGACGCTATTGAACTGGCTAGACTATGGGGGGCTGTTTCTTCTTTCCAACAATTCCGCTTTCGCATTGGGTTTCCGACCCAGTCAAGATGTCAATAAATTTCAACTTGTGGTTCTTCACAAGGGCAGCTCAACAATCATTTGGTCTGCTAATAGAAACAATCTGATTCAAAGTTCAGATTTCTTCACATTCGCTAGAAATGGGAATGCTTACTTGCAACGTGGTGGATCCACCATTTGGTCCACAGATACTGCTAACAAAGGAGTTGTAGCAATGGAATTGCTGGATTCAGGGAATTTGGTACTTGTTGGCAATGATAGCAGCATAATATGGCAGAGCTTTGGCCATCCCACTGATACCCTTGCGTCGAATCAGGAGTTCACTGAAGGAATGAAACTGGTAAGCAATCCCAACTCCAATAATTTGAGCTACTCTCTTGAGATGAAGTCTGGAGATATGATTCTATCAGCAAATTATCAGCCCCCACAGCCTTATTGGGCCATGGGAATGGATACCAGAAGAATCATTGACGCAGATGGAGGGAATGTTGTATCTGCAACTCTTGATGGCAATTCTTGGAAGTTTTATAATCAAGATAAAGTGTTACTTTGGCTTTTTGTTTTCTCTCATAATCATGATGAAAATACCATATGGGTGGCAGCTTTGGGAAATGATGGTTTCATCACTTTCAGCCTTCTTCCAGCTGATGGTAACTTCAGTGCCTCCTCGATACACATACCACAAGATCTGTGTAGTAGACCTGCAGCATGTGATCCGTATTTTGTTTGTGAGACAGGAAGCAGTTGCCTGTGCCCTTCGGCCCTTCACTCTTGCACGAAAAGTAGTTTCTCCTTCTGCGATAGGTCACAGGACTCTGTGGAGCTTGTTGATGCAGGGGACACTCTTAGTTACTCTGCTCTTGATATTATTCCACCCTCTTCTAAAACAGATTTAAATGGCTGCAAAGCCTCTTGCCAAGGAAACTGCTCTTGTTCTGTCATGTTCTTTCACCATTCAGGAAACTGTTTTTTGTTTGATCAGATAGGAAGTTTGCAGCACTCCAAAAATGGTACTCAATATGCTTCTTATATCAAAGTCTTGACCAATGCAAGCGGTGGGGCAAATCAAGGAGGTGGTGGAATTAACAAAACACGCTATGTGATTGTCATCGTGGTCATTATCTCCGCATTGCTCGCCATTTTTGGTCTCCTTTATGCAGGATATCAGCACCACCAGAAGAAAAACGAGGAATTGCCCGAATCCCCTGAAGAGTCTTCGGAGGAGCAAATTTTTTTGGAGAATTTATTGGGACTCCCAGTTCGTTTTAGCTACAATGATCTTCAGATTGCAACTAACAACTTCAACAAGAAGCTTGGTCAAGGTGGTTTTGGTTCAGTTTACCAGGGGATTCTCCCTGATGGAACTAGATTGGCTGTGAAGAAATTGGAAGGCATTGGTCAAGGGAAGAAAGAATTTCGAGCAGAAGTTAGCATTATTGGGAGCATTCATCATCTTCATTTGGTCAGGCTTAAAGGCTTCTGTGCTGAAGGAAATGACCGTCTTCTTGTGTACGAGTACATGGGAAATGGATCTCTTGATAGATGGCTTTTCCGGAAAAACAGAGGGGAATTCATGTTGGATTGGGAAACTAGATACCGCATTGCACTAGGAACAGCTAAAGGTCTGGCTTATCTCCATGAAGATTGTGATGTGAAGATAGTTCACTGTGACATAAAGCCTGAGAATGTACTTCTTGATGACCACTTTGTCGCAAAAGTCTCAGATTTTGGTCTTGCTAAGCTTATGACTCGAGAGGAGAGTAATGTTTTCACCACATTAAGGGGAACAAGGGGGTATCTTGCACCAGAATGGATCACAAACCGTGCCATATCAGAGAAGAGCGATGTTTACAGTTATGGCCTAGTGCTGCTTGAGATAATTGGTGGTAGAAAAGCCTTTGATCGCTCAGAGCCGTCAGAGAAATCCCATTTTCCTACTTATGCTTTTAAAATGATGGAAGAAGGAAAACTGAAGGACATCATTGATGGAAGTTTAAAGATAGATGAAAAGGACGACAGAGTTTCTACAGCAATTAAAGTTGCTTTCTGGTGCATACAGGATAAAATGTTCCTAAGACCATCAATGACCAAGGTAGTTCAGATGCTGGAAGGAATCTGCCCTGTCCCTCCGCCACCGCGCTGTTCGCAGCTAGGGTCACAACGTTATGCAGTTTTCTTCCGGTCAATGAGCAATGAGGGCGCTGGCGCCTCACCGGGGCCTCGAATGAGCAAAAATGATGCTCATCTTTTGGCTACAAGTCTTTCAGGGCCAAGATAGCAACCACAGAAGCTGAAGCAATTTCATTAAAATTGAGAGCACTAGTGGAGAAGCCTTCATATGTACACCATTTTCATGCTTTTCTTCCTCGTACATTCATTAGGTTTTGTTCATATTTGGAAGGTAGACATTTTGGTATTCTAGCATTCAGTAAAATTGATATGCTGTGTGCACATCTTGCCCTGCAGATCTACCAAACCTATCTTGAAGAATGTATACATGATTGGATTAGCAAAAATTTTTGTCATTGTCGTTGATGAACGGGCGTATGCACTGAAAAACATAATGCAATGACTCTCAATATTCTGATCACGGTTAGCCGAATCTTTTACTTTGGCTGCTGTCACCCTTTTCTTCTGGGACTAGGAAAATGCATGTGAAGATGAGTAATTCTTTCTAACCTTAATGTTTTGAACTTTTGAAATATACAAGTTGATGATTGATGTCACTCTAAGCAAGGAAAAAACAAAGCCATGAACTAAATGGGCTTAAAGTTGGACTGGTCCCATGATGTGGTCGTGTGAATAATCAAGAAAAGAAAGAAATCCGCTAATTTCTCTTAACATTGTCTCAACAAACATATCGCAAAAATGAGGAAAGTGGAGAGAGGTTTCTCTAGATAGATCACCCAATGTGTCTGGTAAAATAATTTTTGCGGTTATAGTGTATATAATGTCAGTGTATATAAGATCTTCCCTTAGACTATTTCCTGCATCGACTTTTGATGATCAAATTATTTTCATCTCAGTTTAACAACTCAGCTAATTAATCAGTATACCCGTGATCATTTCATTGAATTTTGCCCTTAATCTACAAAATAAACTAACATGTGCAAGTCAACTGTCAAAATTTAAGGGTAAATATGTCCACTGAGTTTCTTTTAACCAGTCAAATATATTTTTTTCAAGATAGTGATTGAACTCAAATATTCGGATCGTACATTTTGGCCAAAAGTTTCTTTTGTCAAAAGGAAACTCATTGATTTGAGTTCAATGACTATATTGATTTGAGTTGAATATAGTATGTATACTTTTGGCTAGAAGTGTGCTCAAATATTTTTTATTTCAATATAGTCATTGACGTCAAAACGATTTATTATATTGAAATCAAATCAATATAGTCATTCCGTCAAATGTTTCTGTTAATGTTAATAGAATGAGCACAATGTCCATTTCACATACCAAAAATAAGGACAATTTTGTAAGTCAATTTTTTAGATTTTTTCTAGCTAGAGTTTTAGATTTCTTAATTAGCAAATTATAGAATTTAAAATCTTTAATAGTTGCTTTAATATATTCTAATTTATAAGTTTTGACAAAAAATATAAATTATATACTCAAGTTCTTGTGATTTATTTCCAAGAACCCTGAAATTAAATGAAAATAGTACATCTAATGACAAAATTTGAATGAAAGCTCACTAACTTACTATTTTGCTGAGTTGAGTAGTCAATTTGAACGAAAGATCACTACAAAAATATATTGTTTGTACAATTCAATGGCTATTTAAGATTTTTGTCTCGTCTATTTAGACGAATTTATCTATGGTATTTGGCGTGTGCAGTGTAAATGCAACTCATTCCGTTAGATTTGACATTGAATTTGGACAGAATGGCTACTAATATACATATTTGTGAATTAAGTGGCCATTTTCAATCAAAAAATAATTGAGAGATTAAAGGTGTTCGATCATAACAGATTAGTAGTTGCTGAAATTTTTGATCTTCAAGTCGAGAGTTCAATGGACATATTTACTCTTAAATTTTGACACGTGATTTGCCCGTGTTAGGTTTATTTTGTAGATTAAGAGCAAAATCTGACGAAATGACCACAGGTACACTGATTATTTAGTTGAGTGGCTGAATTGAGATAAAAAATAATTTGATGATCAAAAGTAGATACAGGAAATAGTTTAATAACTGTTGAGATTTTTTGCCTTTCTCGTAGGAACTATTTTGCAAGCCACCGTGCCTTTCTTCATTTTTTTTTTCCAGAAACGTTAGATAATTTCATTGATATGTTGTAAACTATACAATTGTTGAGCAAAGGTCCAAATAGACTTTACAAGTGCATCTTGGCACTAAGAGTGTAGCCATTCTTCATCAAAAGAAATGCTTAATGCATGCATACTAACTAAATCAACCCTTTCCTCCGTTAAGTTAGTGGACAAAACGAATGAGCATTCTATAAACGTTGAGCATAGATTTTTGATGTCCTCCAAGTGAGAGTGTATTGCCATGTCTTTAGAGTTACTAGTTTGGATCATTTTCAGCAACTGTTTCTGCTTAATCTTGATCTGAATCTTCTTCCATTCTTTCTCTCTTGCCATACATAAAGCTAATTTAGCAGCCACTGCTTGGTTCCTGAGTTTGTTACCATCAGAATTTGTTTGTTATCATCATCTGCTACTGTTCTAATCCCCATGTCCCAGCCTCCCATCCTCTGCTGTACTGCAATAGTTAGATAAATGGTGTCAGCACTCTCCTTCCTCTGTATCTGTGGTTCACCTGCTCTTGGTGTTTCCAGCATGCTCATCCTTCTCTCTTGATCCTTAGCTTCTTTGTATTCCATCCATTCATTCTGTGCTTTCTGTACTATCTTCAATGGATGTTGCTGCACATTGTTGAACATTCTGTCATTTCTTGCTTTCCAAGTCTGCCACAGGATATTAGCTATTAAGGTTATATGTTCCATACCCTCACTGCTGCACTTGGCTTCTGTTAGTGAGCTCCACCACTTCTTAAATTCTTCTCTCTGGTCTTCAATTCCATCCCAATGTAATTGAGCTAGATGCCATTTTTCTTTAGCTATCCTGCACTGGAAGAATAGGTGTTCAACAGTCTCAATACCTTCTCCACAACAATTACATATAGGTGATCCCGTTTTGATTCTACTATATATGATTTCATTCACAGGTAATGCAGTGCTTAAGCATTTCCACAAAAACATCTTTATCTTGTGTTTTAGATTGAGATTCCACAAGATTTTCCAGGGTTTGTTGTCTCTCAAACTTGTTCCTTCTTGCTGGCCTTCCCTTTGCTGATCATTCTTCACCAGTTCCTTATAGGCTGAGGCCACTGTATACTTCCTATTCCCATTGTGTGTCCAGAAGTGCCTATCTTCTTTATCAGCCAAATTGATGGGTATCCTCATAATTCTTTTAGCTTCTTCCTTCTTGAACAGCTTAAATAAGAAGGGTCTTTTCCATCTATAGTTTTGGATCAGCTCTTCCACTTTATTGACTATGCAGTGCTGTGGCTTTGCTGAAGTTGGCATTCCTTGGGAATTCCTTGGTATCTATTTGTCCTCCCATATCCTAGTGCTCTTGCCATTTCCAATTTTCCCAAAGGTTCCTTTTTCCACCAAGTCCCTTGCTCCCATCAGACTTTGACAAATCCAAGAAGAGTTTTGCTTGATTTTGCATCTGAATATTGACTCATATGGGTAATATTTGGCTTTTAGCACTTTAGATACTAGAGAATTAGGAGTTGTGACCATCCTCCATACTTGCTTTCCCAACAGAGCTCTATTGAAGCTTTGCAAGTTCTTAAATCCTAGCCCCTCTCTATCCTTTTGTTGTGTCATCTTCTTCCAGGAGCACTAGTGCATTTTCTTCTTCCCATTCTCTTCTCCCCATCAAAAGTTTGCCATCATAGTGCTCAATTCCTTGCATAATCTGACTGGCATCTTGAAGCAAGACATGGTATATGTAGGTAGTGCCATGGCCACTGCTTTGAGCAAAACTTCCTTCCCTGTAGTGCTGAGGAGATTATTCTTCCATTGCTTCATCCTTCTCTTACATTTATCCTTTATAAAACTAAAAATTTGCTGTTTTGTCCTTATGATGACCATCAAACCCCAAGTATTTCCCCTGAGTCACAATCTGTACACCACCAAGCTGTGAACTTATGCTTTCCTGTGTTTGTTGTGGTACATTCCTGCTAAAGAACACTGAAGATTTTTCCATATTGATCACCTGTCCTGAGCTTTTCTCATATCTTTTCAGAATCCATCTCAGCTCTTTTGCCTCCTTTGTGTCTGCCTTGCTGAAAATTAAGGTATCATCTGCAAAAAAGAGATGCATTATTGCTGGCCCTTGTCTACAGATCTTCAGTCCTATCATCCTTTTTTCCCTTTCTGCCTTCCTTAGTAGGTTGGAGAAGCCTTCAAAGCTCAGCAGAAACAGATAAGGAGATAATGGATCTCATTGTCTGATCTTCTTGTAGGTGTTACATAGCCTTTGAGGTCCCCATTGATGTTGAAAGAGTAGTTGACCGATGACACACAGCTCATTATCCATTTGATCCAAGTTTCGCAGAATCCCATCCTTCTCATGATTTCTTCCAAGAACTTCCACTCCACTCTATCATATGCTTTTGACATGTCTAACTTCAAGGCAAAAAATGCCTGGTCCTCTTGTCTCTTATTTTTTAGATAGTGCAAAAATTCATGAGAGATAATGACATTATCTATAATCTACCTAGTAGGTACAAAAGCAACCTAGTTCCTACTAATACAGACATTGAGGACTTTCTTAAGCCTGTTAGACAAGACTTTAGAGATGATTTTGTACAGGACTCTGCAAAGGCTTATAGGTCTGTACTGCTTCAAGTTGGTAGGGTTGTCCACTTTAGGAATTAAAGATCTGACAGTGTGGTTCAATGACCTGAGCATCAGACCCGTATGAAAGAAAGTTTGGATTGCTTGAACTATATCCCTTTTAATGATGTACCAGAATTTTTGAAAAAACAGAGGACTCATTCCGTCAATGCCAAGAGCTTTGTTAGGGTTCATAGAAAAGACAGTAGTTCTAATTTCCTCCTCCTCTACTCTCCTAGTTAGAGAGTCATTCATTTGTTGGGAGATGGTGTGTGGTATACATTCTAAAACATCCTCTAGCCCTTCTACCCCACAACTGTCAAACATTTGGACATAATAATTAGCTACTTCTTTTCGTATCTCATCTTCATCTCTTGTCCAAGAACCATCTTCTCTCTGTAGATTCTGGATTCTGTTCCTTTTCCTTCTCTCTTTAACACAAGGATGGAAGTATTGTGTATTTTTATCTGCCTCTCTAAGCCAGTTGCATCTTGCTTTTTGGCTCCAGTACAACTCTTCTTCTATATAAGCTTCTTTCAGCTTAGATTTTAGCTGCCTTAGCAGCTCTTTCCTATTTGCCTGAACAGTGTTCCCCACCTCTTCCATTTGCTGCTTGATATCATTGATCTTCTTCCTTGAA